TTTATACAAAATGGCTAGAAATATTATAAAGAAGTAATTTTAATGATTAAATGGATTACTAGCAAAGAAAAGGAGAAAGCAATAAGCTCTTAGATGGAATTCCACCCTTGGGTAGATCTCCTAGAGGGAATCTAGAATACTGGAGCCCCTAGATGAGATTCTGTCCTTGAGGTGACCCCCTAGAAGAACTTCCCCTGAAGGAAGGGGTTTACATCTGTTCACTGTCTATGATAATGTTCAGCCACACTTATGAGTAATTGCTCCACCCAGCCCTTCATATTTCTCTATAACTAATGCTGTGAGACTTGAATAAATAGTCATTGACTATCAACTAGTCTGTGGCTCCCGTTTTTTTGTTTCTCAGTTGTCGGCGACCAGGGGGGCAGTGATTCAGCCCCCACACACCAAGGAGACCCTCGGGTCACTGCAGGGTGGTGACATCCCAGAACAGCAACAGTTGGGATCTGCTGTGGCCCAATGGCAGTCACGCCAGGAAGTGCTGCCTGACAGACACCAGTAGGCTAAGCTGGAGGAGTGACTCACTGCTGCCACCCTCAGAGGCTAGACTCACAGGCTTCTTAATTCTCCAAGTACCAGGTCTGAGAATCCCTACTCACTACTGTATGGGGAACTAAAGGTAGCTGATGACATGTTGGCCTCAGAAGAAGCTGTCACCATTACTTGAAGAATACAGATTCATAGATTTGGGGGCATCCAAAGCCTCTTATTCAAGAAATCTATCATAAGGCAGCGCTGCACAAGTGAAGTTTCTTTCTTGTAATGTAACATCTCCCCTGTTTTCCCTGATCCCTCAGAAATGATCATTTCTTCTGGGTCTGCCCCCGCTTTACTTTAGCATTTACTACTGTTACTAGAGATTCAGAGTATTCAGAGCCTGAGGAGGCTGCGGGGAGTAAAGAGGACCCAGTGTTCCTGTTTTGCTCCTGCTTTGCTCAGGGAGCTGCCTTGCCCTTCTTGAACAGACCAATGCCAGGCTACAGTCAAATTCAATGACTCTGCACACCCTCCCAGCTTGTTCCTGCCATGCTGGATCTTTTCCAGACTGGAGGAGGGAAATGAGAAGCCTCGACCAGGACACCAGCTTCTTCATCTTCATAGGAAAAAGAATTCAAGGGTAAGAGAAAGTTCATGCAGACCAAAAAAATCTTCCTGAGGGCACACTCTTGAAGTATGGGTGCAGGAGTCTCTGGGAAGCTGATGGACACACCCACTTGCTGTGCATGTATGAGGTCCTGGGCTCTGTGCTGACAAACTGACTCTTAGCACCACCAAACAAAACCCAAAACAAAGCATCCAACAAATGTCTTTAACACTGCACTCCATTCATTACTCCTTTATGAATTTTTTGATCCTTGTTTACCTTTGTTCTGAGCAAGAATTTTTTTCTTTATGGGAGGGGGTGATGTGTGTTGGAGGGGGCAGGGGGGTGTTGGTCTGTAATGCTCAGGGCTTACTCCTAACTCAGCATTCAGGGATTACTCCTGGTGGGCTCAGGAGTAATATATAGTGCCAGGAATTAAATCCAGGTTGGCCACATGCAAGATAAGTGTCTACCTGCTATGTTATTACTCTGGCTCCAGCTCCCTGAACAATAATTTCTGAACAATAAATACCTTTAAATTCAAATGCTTATTTCATTTCTTTTTGGATGTATGTCCTAGTTGTTTACTCATGAATCCAGAGTCGTCTCTCCCCTAAGCATCATCGAGCAACCGCTAGAGAACTGGCTAGGAAGCATGAGTCATATGTACATAAAATGAATCTGTTGACAAGTCAGCACTGGGTAAAGGATATGACTCAACTGTAACGCATGTTCATGGCTGGGTTTGACCCTCAGCACCTGCCCAGTACGGGCGTCTCCATCCACAGTCCTCACTCTTCCCCCACCCTCTAGCTCTGCCAAGGGCTGTGACCCCACAGCAACAAAAGCAGCACACACAAGAAGTCAAGGTCATGGTTTCCTCATCCCTTGGGGCAGTTTCCTTCCTTCCTCTATTTTCCGGGTTTGCTGTTCTTAGATTTCTTTGCTTGCTTTCTTTTTCTTTCTTTCTTTCTTTCTTTCTTTCTTTCTTTCTTTCTTTCATCCTTCCTTCATTCCTTCCTTTTCTTTTTTTCTTTTTTTGGAAGGGCAAGGGCTGTTGGGGGCCACGCCCAGTGGTGCTTAGGACTTACTCCTGGGCTTGTGCTAAGGGGTCACTCCTGGTGGTGCTTGGGGGACCGTATGTGATGTCAGGTGGAATTGAACCAGGTTCAGTGATGTGCAAGGCAAGAGCCTTAACTTCTACACATCTCTCCAGTCATTTAAATGCCTTGTTTTTATACCTGACAAGAGGTTAATATCAAGAATTTTTTTAAGTTTTCTTTTAAAAAACTTCCTAGGCTGGAGAGATAGTACAGGAAGTAAAGCACTTGCCTTGCATGCAGGCTATATCAGTTGCAACCCTAATTCAAATCCTCAGCACCACTTGTGGTTCTCTGAGCAAAGCCGGGGGTTATTCCTGAGTACAGAATGAGAAACAGCCCCTAAGTACCTCCAAGTATCCCCTCTCCCTCATAAGTTGGTTAAAAGACATGCCAAAAAAAAAGTCCTACAACTCAACAATAACAAAAAACTGACCAAAACAATATTGATTTTTAGAAAAGATAAAAACCCCTAAATTAGAAGGATGTATTTGATACCAGGTGTAAGTTTAGGACATATGTTCCCTATCTGAGATACATGTCTTTTTCTCTCAGAGTAAAAGATGAGGTTATTTCCCCAGTGTGACATGAAACCTCCTCCTCTCTTCTTGATGCCCCATGGTTACAACCGTGTAAGAATCCTCCACACATAAGTTATCAGATTGACTTTTTCTTTGCTGATTCTTCTGAGACTGGCTTGATTATTAATACAGCACATGTTGAATCCAGAGAGGTGGAAGATTTTCCCTCTACCCTGAAAATGTATACCCTGTCAATTTGAAATAAAAATAAAAACTACATATTAACAAAAATAATGATGGGTCTCATTCTCCTAAAGAGCCTTGAATATAATCTCAGGGCTAGGATGAAAGAGACATTACTGGGGCCTGCTCAAGGCAATCGATGAATAACAGGATGATTTGTGATTTGTGATTAACAAAAATGAGTTCCTTTAGGAATAACCAGAGGAATTACTGTTAAAGAAACGTATGCTATTAAGATAAACCCCTAAACAGGACATTCCAGGAAGCCATAATATCAAGACTTGTTTGGAGATATATAATCCTAAGGCACCAAGCCTTCCCTCACTCAGGACAAAGGTTAGACCCATCAGAGGTAAACAACCAGCCTGATAGCACTGAGAGAATAAAAAGACCATCAAAGTACAGAGCCTTTTCTTGACAATTTCCTAGCAACCTCTCTTTTTTTTTTAATTAGTGAAACACTGTGAGGTACAGTTGTAGATTTACAAATTTTTGTGCTTGGGTTTCTATTATACAATGATCAAATTCCCATCCCTCCACCAGTACCCATTTTCCACCACCATGGATCCCAGTATCCCTCCCACACCCATTCCCCCCATCCCACCCTGCCTCTGTGGCAGGGCATTTCCTTTTGTTCTCTCTCTCCTTTTGGGTGTTGTGGTCTGCAAAAGAGGCATTGAGTGGCAATCATGTTCAGTCCATAGTGTACTTTCAACATGCATCTCCCCTCCTGGGAGGATCCTCCAAACACCCTTTATTTGGTGCTCCCTTCTCTATCTGAGCTGCCCTTTCCCCTAGAATGCCCGGCTGGCCTCTAAGCTATGGAGTAATCCTCCTGGTACTGATCTCGACTATTCTTGTGTATTAATCTCCTATTTTGTTACTTTATATCCCCCAGAATAATGCAATCTTTCTATGTTTTTCCCTCTTTCTGACTCATTTCGCTTAGCATGATACTTTCCACATTGTACCACTTGTATGTAAATTTCATGACTTCATCTTTTCTAACAGCTACATAGTACTCCATTGTGTAGATGTACCAAAGTTTCTTTAACCAGTCATCTGTTCTTGGGCACTCAGGTTTTTTCCAGATTCTGGCTATTGTAAAGAGTGCCCTAGCAACTTCTCTAATCTGTGAACCCGTTATAAACCTCTTATAATTAACTACCCAAAGGAACCCATGGCACCCCATCTTAGAGACTTTCTTAGATTGTGCCCGCTGCCTTCTATAAAACTTGTTAAAGATTTATTGTTTGTTTTTGCCTTAAATTCTTCCCTGTGTATAAAATATTAACTTATTTATGTAACAAAAAGTCATATAGAGAAATCTCTCATCTGAAGTACTTTCTAGGGAAGGTAAATACAAAATTTTCTATCATTTTTGATTTGATTGACTCTAGGACCATCTTGGAAGTCTCAGGGAGGTAAGGACCATGTGGTGCAGGGGACTGAAACTACATCAGGGACAGACAGTGCAAGTGCCTAACTACTGTATGTCTCCCCAGCTTCCAATCTTGCCTTCTCATTCTTCCAGAGAGACACCCTACTGGGGCCTCTATGGAGAACTTTGGACAGATCTGGTGAAAAGGGAGAGGAAGTTTATACAGAGGAAAGTGCAAGGAGCTACTCTAAATAAGAGTTCACTGGAAGAAAGGAAGCACTTAGGTTGGTGATGGCCTCTCATTCATTGGACTGCAGTGCTTCTCATTAGCAGAATGATTGCTGGACGGGATAAAGTTTTCCTAAAGTCATTTATTACTTGGTAATAAAGATTACCACACTAACTGTTGGAAACTACAACGAAGACAAGTACATGACAGTGAAGAGAGATGTTTTTGCTGTATAATGACTTTCTTAAGGCCCTCCTTCTTGACTCCAATTTAGATGCCTTTTTTTGTATTTTATTTTATTTGAGGCAATGTAATTCACAACACTGTTGATCACAGGGTTTCATGCATGCAACGTTCCAACACTATACCCTCCACCAAAGTGTCCTCTTTGGTCTCAGTGTCCTTCCCTCAGTCTACCCCACCATTCTTTCCTTATGATAGGGAACAGAGAACCATTATTCTGTCTTTAAGTTTCTGAACATAAAGGAAAATACAATCTTAAGATTTTGCTGTGTTCCCCAGTAGTGGCTGTAGAAATAACCCTGCAGTCCCAAGTACACAGACAGTTATAAATATCCAGAGAAAGACTCTGTCCACCACCATGGCCACATATTTCCAGTCGTCTTCTACCTAAAAGACAAAACAAAAAATCAAATTTATTTTACAAAAATGAAAACAATAGAAAATATGGTGTTTAATAAATAAGCTGCTTTCTTTTTCAAAGACCATTTCAGGAAAATATTGGTATTATTCTCACTAGCCCATATCTCCTACATAGTATATAAACTTCTGTTATCCATTACCATATGCCTTTAAGCAGCTATTTACAGAATCCATTGGAATTCTTACAACTTTCCTGAGTGCAAGAAAGAAACTCTCCCCAAAAAGAGCTGCTCAGATAACTCAACTCTTGTCATTGGAACAAGGATATTCTAACCCATAGGCAAGTCTGAGTTTGGATAAGGTCAGGGATGTGGAATATGGGGTAAAATAGAGGACTTCTGGTCAGTGATGGGGTCCCCAAGACACCAGCAAGTCATCAATAAGGTGTGGAGAGTTGGCTATTTGTCTCACATCCTTCAACTTCCTGATCAGCAATTTTATCCTCGTTGCATCTTGAGAGTCCTACTTGGTGGTTAGCCAATCATAACACTGCCTATATTTTAGGAAAATGCCACTCTATAATGAGTCCTGGTCTTACTTGTTCGATGAATCATCCCCTTTTCACTCTGTACAACATACAGGCACAGGATCTTTTCCATACCAGTAAGGAGGGTAAGGGAAGGTGGGCCTCACAATACTCTTTCATCAAGAGACAGACACCAGGAGCTGCAATGAGGCCAATCCCAGATGCATGCATAGTTTCAGATGTCCTCAATTGTTCACCCTAGTAGCATAGAAAACTGAGCTTTCTTTGGAAGATGGAATAAGTCCATGTTGCTATAGTTAGACTCTGGGTAGATGTAGAATATGTCAATATTCTAAAAATATTTATAGACTCATTCAACCAGCACCTTAATCCCTCAAAAAAAGAATCAGTGGAGTGGAAGATGAGAACGGCTCAACCCTACACCTCCCAGCCCGCTCCTTCCAACTGCTCTGTCATCCTCCTCCCTACCCTTCAGGGCCAGTGTTCCCATTTCACCTTCTACTATGCTGTATTTTATGCTGCAGCTCTTGGTTTTATTGGCCACAGTTGTTCTGACTGTTGTTTAAGTCAAAATTCACTTTTACATTTCTGGAGGTAAAAATTTTACCTGGGCTTGTACTCTACCCCACTCCCAAGCTAGTCTTCCCATAATAACAGGGCTGCAGCTAAGAGTAACATCTTTAGTGTAATACAGAGGTCAGAAGAAGCTGTGAGCAACTTTAAAGGTGCCTCTGGGTATGCTGTCAGTGTTTAAACCAGAGGACACATGCATTTACCTCCTTTGTCTCATTTTGGCTTTTCATATTTCCTGCTATGAATTGAACACTATTAATCACATCTTCAACTTCTGCTGAGTACTCTGAATTTTCAGTCATCCATTGTAAAGGCTGATCACTTAATCTTCTCTTACTGGTGGCAAGTTTACTTGATTTATGACAGTGGCAGCATTCTTTAATAAGTCTGGTGTCTCTGCCATTTTCAAACTTCACTTTGGCTGCCTTATGGGAAATGTCTCTCGGGGAGTTATCAGAATCTGTGTCCCTCTGCTTGTCTAGAGACCTCTTCATCATGAGTATTTGGGGTAATTTCTTGAGGAAAGTCATCTTCACCCAATTGGGCATAGTATGTGTTGTGGGACTTCGATAGTGTATGTTCAACACAAACACAGTCACTACGATGGAGAGAGTAACAAAGATCATGGTGAACAATAGGTATTCCCCAACCAGTGGGATTGCAAGGGATGTGGAAGGGATTGTTTCTGTAATCACTAGCAAAAATACAGTCAGAGAAAGCAGAACTGAAATGCAAAGTGTGACTTTTTCACCACAATCAGAAGGAAGATAAAAGACCAACACAGATAGAAATGAAATAAAGAGACAGGGAATAATTAAATTAATGGTATAGAACATTGGCAATCTTCTAATGTAAAAAGAATAGGTAATATCTGTGTATATCTCTTCACAACAGTTGTATTTTATGTCATGTTTATAGCCAGAAGCATCAACAATTTCCCATTCACTATTTTCCCAGAAATCATTCATATCCACTTTAGAGCCAATGATTAGAAGATCAATTTCAGCTTTATCATAGGACCAGGAACCAAATTTTAGGGAACAATTTTGATAGTCAAAGGGGAAAAAGGTGATATCCATAGGACAAGAACTCTTAAAAATAGCTGGTGGAGTCCAGGTTATCATGCCATCATATTTCAGAAGGGCTTTTGTCCTGCCTTCAACTTGGAAGTCACCAACAGCACTACAAAGTAAATCAGATTCATTAGTAAATTCCTCCTTTTCTATTAATCAGTAGGTAACAAAGGCAACTTTGAAAAGAGACTATGGTTATCAGACACCCATACTTGTTATAGAGGACAATGTCAGGCTTCCAAATCTTATCTGCAGGAACACGAATAGTCTCAATGCCATCATAGTCCATTGGGTCCCAGCGCAATTTATAATCTTTCCAGATCTAAAGAAAATAGAAATCCATTTTTTCGAGTCTATTAATTTTCTCCAATGTTAAATCTTTGTAGGTTCATCAATTTTTTAAAAAAATGTAAGTTGATATTTGAATATTCTAAGCTGGTTTCATTCATGAGAAATAGGGGGCTGGGCAGCCAAGCATATTTTCACAAATATAAATTATATTACATAGGTATTAGAACATTATCTAATAATGATCTGATAGGGTTTATAGGACTGGTACAATTTTATCAGAGTGGTAAATTAGAGCTTTCTGAAATTCAGATTGTAAATTAAAAGTAGGATATTTGAGGGCAAAAACAAGAAAGAATAGAGTCTATGTCAGAGAAAACTTTGACACTTAGGTTTCTGAAACTTCAAAGCTTACCTGAAATCAGCTGTTGCCAGACCTGAATTTAGACTTTGGTTATAGACAATATTATCCTGTGCCATAAGTTTAATATTGAAAAAAAGGGGGAAAGGGAATCAGTGTATTTTATTCATTGAAGGCTGATATACAAATAACACAAGTACAAAAGGATGTGTGATATAGTACATACGTGACGCAGCCACAGATTGGTTTCCATGATTTGGTTTACTTCATCCTGGGAAGAGGAAATAATATTTTTAGCCTCAAATGCACTTGCTAATAAGGGATGACTTTGTAACAATAATTATAACCCAAAGGAGTTATATATATTACCCATACTAATAGAGAGAACATAAAAGATTTTAGACAACTTAAAAAGTCAACCAGAAAATAAGCTATTTCCGCATCTAGTCCCAGCTCTGTTTTGAAAGACAACACTTAAAATCTTTTGTCTACTTATTTTAGCACCATAACTTTAAAAACTGTTAATAACTGAATTTTAGGCACTCAATAATCCACTCCAAATGCAGCACCAGTGTCAGCGACACTCCACCAAATACCCAAGGGTCCTTCTCTCTCCCTACCCAACCTTCTTGGTAAATTCATTTTTTTAAATTTTACTTATTATAGTTTGGATAATTTACAATAATATTGACTCATGGTTTTGATGTATAGCGTTCTCTCAAAATGTTAAAGACTCTTGACCAATGCCCTTATGTCATGTCAGTTTACCTTCTCACCCTCCTCACCCTCATCTGTTCTCCAAGATTGTCTTTCAAATCTGATTTAAGTACCACCTCTTCTGGAAAACCTACCTTATTACTGCATCCCATAACATCTTCTGATTACACAGCAGGAAAAAAGGAAGATAAGAAAGAAAGAAGAAAGAATGGGAGGGTTGTGGGTGTGGGGGGATACTGCATATGGTGATAGGGACCCAAACTGTGTTCTCATATTTGCTATCTTCTTCCCCGCTGTGCCTCCCTCCCTCAGTTGTGCCTCAGCACTCTCTAGATTTTCAGTCTAGGGCCCAACTCCCCTTGAATTGTTGGCCTCAGATCTTCATGGGATTTTCCAACTGGATTTGCCAAACTCCCCATAACACATCTCCTACTCCCCTCCAATTGCTAATTGCTTCAATAATCCACTGCACAAATACTTACTGAGTACTTGTGTTGTGCTCTCTGTGTGTTGGCACTATAAATGAAAATATAGGAGTGGGAAATCCATACCTTTGTATAACTTAGCTGTTCATTGGGGAGGCAGAAAATCATTAATAGATATAAAATATGATGTAAGAAGGGCTTGAGGGAGAGTGCAACAGGTAAGATCCTTGCCTTGCACTTGGCTGACTGAGTTGACTTTCCAGTACCACATATAGTCCTCCAATCCCAGCCAGGAGTGATATCTGAGACAGAACCAGATATAAGTCCTGAGCGTCACTGGGTATGGTCCAAAAACCAAAAGATCAGTAATAATATAACGTAAGAAACTGTTAAATCCTATGAAAAAAATAAACAGGAATGGAATGTTCTATGCACACATATATACAAACACAGTTATGCACGCATAGGCCAAACACACCTCTAGTCATACACAGTGATCAAAGAAGACCTCTCGGAGGTAGTTTCTATAGATACCTAAAAGACTTGACAAGAGTCATGGAGGCCTGGAAGAAAAGCATGCCAGATGGATGGTATCCCAAATATCACATTTTCCTAACACGTTCCTATACTTCTTAGTGAGAAAGCTACGAAAGACACAACCAGATGCTCAGCAGTCTTACAATATAACAGCTTGTGGACTATTCACAGCTATTGAGTAAGCCTAACCAATCTTCTCCAAGCACATGAACACACTCCAGAATAAATGAACTCAACAGGGGCTGAGGGAACTATGGCTAAGAATCAACACCAAACTGTCTGCATTATACCTCTTTCCTCCTTTCCAAGAATTCGAACTAAGGAAGTTGCCAAACTTCCTCCCTCTGACGGGTTTGTGTCAGGTCATAGTAAGACATAGAGATTTTTCTTTTTCTCTGGGTATTTTGTTTTGTTTTGGGGGTCATCCTAGTGGTAGTTAGAGCTTACTCCTGACTCTGTACTCAGGGATTATTTCTGTGACTGTATGTAGTTCACGGTGCCAGGAATTAAACTGGATTTAACACTGTGCAAGGCAAATGACTTAACTCCAATATACAATCTCTCTGGCCAAACCCTAGGTCAACAAAGGTAGTTACTTTAATTATTTCCTATTGGTGAGGGAAAGCAAATAAATGTTCCTTATCAATTTTGGGGATCATCACCCTGTTTCTCTTTCTTGGGAAAATAGATTAGTTGACACATTCTATATTTAAAGCATTTGGGTTCTAATTTCAAACAGACACATGTCTGGAGTGGCAGCAGTAGAATATTTGAGTCTAAGAATAGAAAGGCCAAATAGATCACAGTTTACAAGTCTTGTCATTTACATATTCAGGTCATCTAGAATGCTGGGCCAGGGGCTTTGACCTGGATTCCTGTAGAAAGGCAATGAACTTACTCCTCTGAAAGATTTATCTCCTCCCAAAACTCTGTGTCCAAGGACATTCTGCATGGCAGCAAATACACTCCAAAGTAAATTTCTTGGTGTTCTTAGGCCAGTGGAGGGGTTCAGTTAACTACCAAGATGCCTTCGACAAGGAGGCTGAAGGTCACACCTTCTCTCTCTGCCCTGTCATACAGCTATGGTCAGAGCTCACCAGCACTCAGTGACCATGGATATATGCTCCACAGGGATTCATGGTGTCCTGAAGAACATGTGCCCCCAAACCAGTAATTATGTCTAAGTAATATTTGATCAAGCTAACCTCGGAGAAAAATGTTTCTAAAGAGAAAAAGAGACATACACAATAATGATCACCCTACCATGAAACTGGTAGAATTAAACAACCATTACAAAGTATTTCAAACAAAAACCTGATAGAGCTGAAAGAAGGAAGAAATATTCAATTATGGAGGATTATTTCAACACTCCTTTTCAATAATCCACATAATGTCTAGTAAAAGATATTCAAAAATGTAGATATGAACCAACAAGTTCTCACTGACATATACAAAACTCTCAAAAACTTTAGAATGCAAACATTCATGGAATATTTATCACCAACATAGACCATGCTTGACAATGGGATAGAAAACGAACTTCAGTATGTGCCAGAGTAATATTATACAGGTAGGGCACCTGCCTTGACTTAGATTCAATCCCCAGAAATTTATATGGTTCCCCCAAACTCCACCAGGAGTGATCCCTGAGCACAGAGTTTGGAGTAGGTCTTGAGCATTGCTGGATGTCACCCAAAGCCAACCAAAAAAGTAACTTTTTAAAAAAAGAGGTAAAAAAAGAGGAATGAAAATAAACCTCAATAAATCTAAAATAATGCAAGTCATACAGTCTATTCTCTGACTGAAAGATGAACATGAGTTTGAAACAGAAATGAATAACATAAATGAAAATAGAACTCAATAACAAAATGACAACAGGAAACCATTTAACTCATAGAAATCAAACATACTTCTAAATAACCCATGGGTTAGAATACCTATGAGTAATTTCAAAAATAAATTTAATTGAATAGGAGCAGAAGCACACCTTATCAAAAAAAATATGAAAGTTAAGTCAAAACCAGTACAGAGGGTCAGCTAGATAGTACAGTGTGTAGGAGGCTGTCCTTGCATGCAGACCACCTGGAATCCATTTTTGGCATCCCATATGGTCGCAGGGCCCAGCAGGAGTGATCCCTGAGCACCAAACTGAAAAATTTCCTGAGTACTGCTGTGTCTGGTAAAAAAAAAAAAAACAGAATAGAGAAGGAAGACAATTTTAAAAATCAGTGAAATTCAAAGTTAACTGCACAAAACAACAAAATTGATTAGCATCCTAGAATGTTAAAGAAAATAAAGAGCTCTCAATATTCAACAGTAAAAACTTTCAAATCAAGGATCCCAAAATGTGCCCCAGCAGTGGAGCCTTGCGGGCAAGAGAACATGAGCTCGATCCCCAATACCACCACACATCAGAAATATGCTTTCCAGCTCTGCAGGTGGGTCCCAGGAGCTGAGGGGTGTCAGGTCATGTGAAGCTCCGCCCCAGGTACAGGAAGCCAATCAGAAGGCAGAACGGGGTGGCTGGGGGCGGGATACTGCAGCTAACAGGAGGTCCCAGCTCTGATCCTCCCACATCCCGAACCCCCCCTATACCACTCTGCCTCTGTGGCAGGGTATTCATTCCCTTTTGTTCTCTCTCTCTCTCTCTCTCTCTCTCTCTCTCTCTCTCTCTCTCTCTCTCTCTCTCTCTCCTTTTGGGTCCTGTGGTTTGCAAGAGAGGCATTGAGTAGCAATCATGTTTGGTCTATAGTCTACCTTCAGCACGCTTCTCCCATGCTGGGAGGATCCTCCCAACATCCTTTATTTGGTGCTCCCTTCTCTATCTGAGCTTCCTTTTCCCCTAGCACGTGTGGCTGGCCTCCAAGTCATGGAGTAAAATTCCTGGTACTAGTCTCGGTCACTCCTGGGTGTTAGTCTCCCATTTTGTTACTTTATGTTCCCCAGATGAATGCAATCTTTCTGTGTCTATCCCATTCTTTCTGACTCATCTCACTTAACATGATGCTTTCCATGTAGTACCACTTGTATATAAATTTCATGACTTCATCTTTTCTAACAGCTACATAGTACTCCATTGTGTAAATTTACCAGAGTTTCTTTAACCAGTCATCTGTTCTTGGACACTCAGGTTTTTTCCAGATTCTGGCTATTGTAAAAAGTGCTGCAATGAGCTCAATCTTTCGAGTTTTGTATGCAAATCTTTCATACAATTCTCAAGAACCCACCAGCACAGGAAAATCCACTTTCACGTCAAAACAACCAAGTGTGTAAGCAACCAAATAAATCTGACACCATCATCATCACATCAATAAAAATACCAAATCATTCCAATTAGAAAAGGCAAAAAGAAGCATCATTCACAGAAGAGGAGAAAAGTATAACATATCCATATATGAAAAGATGTTCTATATCAATAGTCATTTGGGAAATTAGACACTTTAGTTATGAATTAATAGAAATTAATTAGAAATTTAGCCATATTGGAAAGGCTAAAATTACAAATTATGATACTAAACTTATCATGGTAGGTTGAGGGTGTAGTGTTGCATGGGGGCATAATGTAACCCTAATATTAATGGTATTGTAAGTC